AAATCCCAAATCCCAAATTATGATTAGTATTTTTTGTCGAAATCCCAAATCCCAAATTCCAAATACTAGTAATTTGGAATTTTTGCATTCCAAATTCCAAATACTAGTAATTTGGGATTTGGACAAAACGTATACTTTATACAATTGTATTTTTTGTCTCTCTATCTCACTGCGCAATTTATTATTAGCATTAACCCACTTCTCAAGCTGTTTAATGATTTCCTGCATCAAGGAGCCAAAAGTTTTTTCATTTTAATCTAGTAATTGTCGGGATAAACTATCTAACTCTCTCTTAACGTGACAATTAATCTCTTCCTCACATGCAAAGCAAGAGCAGTTATATACCTGATTACAGGTCGGGACAGTATCTTGGGTTTGAGTTTCCTGGTTAGTCATATCTGTATCGTATAAGGAATTTTTAAATAAAGGTAAACTTTTTTGTTGGTACTTTAATTTTTTCTGATATCTATTAACTTCATGTTTTAAAAATGATTCGACTAATGGATTCACTGCACTAGCTTTATCATTTGTGATTGAATTTCTCTTCTGAGATATTAAGCATTTCCAAGTTTCATTAACTAAGGAAGGTGGTAATTTATTGATCAAATCTGAATATGCTTTATTAAATTTCATGGCTCTTTGTTCGTTGCTTTGCAACTGATATATAGTATCGAGAAATTAATACCGTATTTTATGACGTAGAAAAAAATGGAATCTTTTATGAAAATTATAAAATATACATCGAGAAAAAAATAAATATACATGAATAAATTAATTAAGTATATACTATGTTTCTATTTCTAAAAGTCACTTTTGAAACCGATATCTCAATTGCCGTTTTTTAGAACCTATCCAATCATACGGAATAATATATTCTTTATATGTTTCAATTTCATATTCAATATCAGGTGGATGCCTATCATACTTTTTTCTAAATTCAGCAAATTCTTTAGTATAGTGTAATTTAACTTGATCTAAAGATATAGGATTTTTCACTTTGCGAGGAGTTAGACCTAGAAATTTCTCATCATCTGGGGTTCCATCATTTGGTAAACTTAACCAAGCGAGGAGTGCATTTGATGGTACTCTTTCTCGGAATCATCTATATGCCCATTGAATAACTCTGACATGTCCGAAATCCGTTTTAGGTGAATCACATTCATTATCCCAATGATTGATAATCAAATCTGCTGGTACGAGACGATCAACATATCTTTGTCTAGTAAAATGAAATGATTTTTTAGGATTTACATCATCGAGTTTTATGAGTTTCCAACAACTAAAACAAATAGCCATATGGCTCTTATGAATTCTCGGTCTACGATAATTGAATTTAACAAATTTACCTTGACCATATGATGAGAATAATGCATATCGATAATATACACTAAATTTTCCAGTGTTCAACAAATTTTGTAAAGGTACTCTGACTCGTAAACTCCACTGAAATGGTGTTTCGTTCTGTTTTATGGTAGATAAAGTGTCAAATGATCTCTCATTATCAAAGAGTGTATCAAAGAATTGTTGATGATCATTAATGCCAAAATAATTTAGAATATACGAGTTAACATACTTCATATCAAAACCTGGACGAATATTAAAGGGTTTGGGTAATGTTCTATCTTTCTTATCGAGAAAAGTTGTAATGTCAAAACCAGATATATTTATCAATTATATAAGATTTAGATAATGTTGTGTTTTAGGTGATTTGACCTATAATATATTTAGCGATTTTAGCATTTTTGACCTACAATATACATATCTAGAACAAGATTCAATTTTGTATAATCGAAATATGCATATATTATATATATATATTCAAAAATACGTAAAAAACTTGAATTAAGTTACTTATACATATAAACTTCAGTGCTTATTTACCCCACTATCTGTGCTACCGCATCTGTGTAACGGATTTCATATATATGACATTTTCCCAGATCGTTAATTTTTGCCTGTGAAAACTTTTTTGCTTTTGTAATAAGAATGCATGTAAACGAAACTCGAAAAGGCAATAACAGGAAATAGCATGCAAATTTTTATTAGTGCGGTTAACAGGTTATAGGGCTTTGAACTCTTCACTATCTCCGTAATCGCCGAGATCTATGCATATTTCATCTTCTGACTTCCTAGTGTAACTTTTTAAGCAATATAAAGGATCTGATCCACCAAAAACGGAGACAAAATAAATTTTCATTTTTCTATCTTGCTACATACGACGCAGTGCATAAAACCAGATTTCAACGCCATATTCAATATAAAACGATAACATGTCTTCAGAACCAGTCTCACCCTCAAGCATATCATTTGACGAAGAAGTAATAACTCGTACCATAGTTAAAGATTATGATACTGATGAGCTAATCGAGTATTTGCGATGAAAGGATTTGAAACTTAAGGAGTCCCACTTCGAGATTTTTCGACAAGAAGAAATAACTGGTCGTGTTTTTTTTACAACTAGCAAGAAAGAATATCGGGATATTGGTTTTTCGTTTGGAATAGCTTCTCTTCTTTCAGACTTTGCTGAGGAGCTCAAAGAGCAAAAATTACAATCCTTTTCGTCTTACAAAACCGTAGAGGAGTTAAAAGAGCTATTACGTGAATATAAAGTTAATGGAGATAACATTACAAGCATAAAACAATTCAATCCAAGTAAGTTTATGCTATAAGTAACGATAGGGTGATTGTATTTTTTTATAGCCCTGCTATGACATTCACGTATCTCTGGTTTATGATAACAAATATTTTTTTCTGCAAAGTTTTCAAGAAAATCGATGACGATGACGAAACCCTTAAACAATGCATTGCAGAAATTACATTTCGACTTGTGCAAATAAAATCAATGACAGATGCTAACGAGGTGACACAATGTACTTTTATCGAATCCATATTACACGCATCAATTGCTGTTGCAAGAAAAGTAACTAATAAAGAAATAGATATCGAATACCAGAGAGATATTTCCGGTGAAGAAATGTCTGGGCGGGTGGATTATGCAATAAGTAGAATGGAAGATCTCCTATGTGTTACCGAAGGAAAACCACGAAATATAAAAATAGGATATCTTCAGGTATACCTAAAATAAATATGATTATTAGTATTGATATCACTATTGATATGCTTTTATTTTTCAGAATATAAAGCAACTTCCACAAACAAAAAACGAACTGCGGATCAAGCATTTAATGATGATGGGTATGATTATCTCTACAGTATCGTTTCCACTGGGGTAGATTGGCATTTCATCATGTTTACATCGGACGGGCTATACTGTACAAGTAAAACGGAATATCAAATAGATCTCACGAAAAAAGTACTTAGGGGTAGTCGAGAAAATTTGCGGGATAGTATAAACAAATAATTGGCATAATCGTGGGCTTATTAAAAGATCGAGCAATGGCATGCGATGAACCTGAAAATAAAAGACGTCGCGTACAAGAAAAGATTGGAAAATAGATAGTTAATTCTACTCCCTGTATTTTATTATGATATTATGTATCCGGCACATCCGATAATAAAAAATTTTTTCCCGAAATAAACATGCGATGCATCTCACACATAATAACTTTATTGGCACTTATTGTGAAACAATGACATAATTTCGTAATAAATTGATTAATCGTATGACCGAAAATTATGTTAAAATACCCATTTTTTTTATCATATTTTTTGTACTATTAGAATTTAACCTTTACCATTTTTGGAATATTCATAGAATATTTGTTATACTACACAATGCCCTGTATTACCGAAGTCATGGTATTTTGTCTCGTTTTAGGTGACGCAGTCGAAAATGCTTTCGTTGTTGATATCAAAGAAGACAAGACCGTTTCACATCTCAAGGATGCCGTTAAGGAGAAGGCGGGTCTTGACATTCCCGCAAACAAACTGAGGTTATGGAAGGTTGATATTCCTCAAAGCAGAGAAAACCAGAAAAATATAATATCCGTCGAAGTAAACATTAAAGAAGAATTAGCAGGTGAAGAGTTGGCTCCATTCGAAATTATAAACGACCATTTTGACAAATCTAGTACTCACATCCGAGTAATTGTACAACCGCCCACCACCACTGGTAAATGTCTCCCAATGTTTTACCTCTCGAAAAATAGTTTTGCTATTTTGTTTTCTATATAATATATTGCGGTTCTTTTTTATTTGTTTACTCACAATCACCATCTTTGCTTTTTGATGAACAAATAGACCAAGAGCGTATTAATATACAAAGTTGTAACCTTGATTATCTGCCTCGACAAGGTATGTATAAGGGTATTTTGAATTGCATTGTTTATATTTCTAACAATCAGCCCTTTTTTAGATGGTCGTGGTGGCACTTTGCTATCTTATGATCTGATTACAGGTTATTCTATCGAAGGCGTTTCTCTTACTGACCCTGACATTAGCATGAGATCTGAGATTATACCTTCTTTGATAAAAGATCTTATGCAGAAAAAGATTATACTTATTCGGTCTCCTCCCTATTCTGGAAAAACATCATTAGCACAACTTTTGGAGAATTACTTAGTTCAATCACAAGATTTTTCAGAATACAGAGTAATAAGAATTTCAATGCTTTGGGCATCAGCTGTGAAAATGAAATGCAATTGGGAGACATTTGGTACGGTATGGGAGAAAATTATTGGTGTAAGCTGGATTGAGTGGATTGGACAGTGCAAAAGCATTCCATCGATTTTGATAATGGATGAAGTTCAAAAGATCTATAAGGATAAACATGAATTTGACGAAAGTATGAAGAATACAGAAACCGCAATGGATTTTTGGGATACCATTAAGGCCAACCTTCAAGAATCATCAAATGTTTATATTATTATGTTTGGAGCCTATGGATACGGTGTTAATTCTGCAGGACTTTCAACCCCTGTCTCAATACCAGCAGAGAACAGCAAAAGTCTTCTTGACATCAAATTTACCGATGATGAGCTATGGAACTATGTTGAAATTTTCTGCAACAGGCACTTTGTATTATTAGATAACAACATTCTTAATGACATCATCTCAAAATTTAATAAATATATTCAAAAAGCAACGGCAGGACATGTGGGTTTAGTTCGTCACATATTGCATAATACAAAAAGTGCAATGGAGTGGCGGATTCGTGAAAATGTGCTGACTTGGAAAGACATATTTGCATACCTAAATTCAAATAGATTCAATTTAACTATTGATGAATGCCGTGCTTCTCCCCAAGTCAAAAGTTTTTCTGTTAATGAATTGGACATATGCGAAAGTGTTTATTTAAATGGGAAGATTCTTTTCAGACCTTCCAATACAAGCATTCAGCAGTTAGTCAAATCTGGAGTTCTTGTGGTTATTGATGGGGAACTATATTTTTCAGCACCTCTTATTATGCGATCATTTTTCCAGCAATGTTATGGAAGTCACAATAGTTCCGAGATTACCCCTTCATCATTATATCATTTTATTGTGAAAACTTTCACAGCAATATGTAATGGACAAAGCGGAAAATTATTAAGAGAGACGCTTGGATTTGGAACTGATGGAAGCCTCCTGGAACAAACATGGCAGAAGGAATTTTATAGAGTCGGAACACAAGTGTTAGGGAAGAATCACTTTCTGTCATGTGATGTAGGAGCAGTTTTTGGATGTGATGGGTACATAGATTTTTATGTGGATAAGTTAGAATGGGCAATAGAGCTCTTGAGAGATGGTAAGGATAAGGCAGAGCATAGTAGGAGATTTGAACCTGCGGGAAAATATAAAGAGATTGTTAGATATGCAAAGAGTATAGCTATTATTGATGTTCGCAGTGAATCAAAAAAAGTTCGAAAACTGCAGAGGGATTTCATACATGTGTCATGCTCTGAAAATTATGATGCATTTAAAATAGAATGTCTTGGCAAAGAATCTTTGACCATTAAGATTAAAGATTAGATGTTATATTAATATATTTAATGTGCACATCCTTCATTTAATTAAAAATAAATGGGATAAGTTGCGTATTTGCATTGATAAAGCCTTTTAGGCATATGTTTATTATTTTTCTATTAGGAGTACATAATACAACTAAAAATTTATTGATGGAGTAGCGGACGTTTAAAGGGAGGAACATCTCGAGCCCTAACCCATAAAATGAGAGTTCCTTTCCCTACTCCGTATTACTAGCTACCCCGGTTATATAATTCATAGATTGCGATCACGGCGATAAAAATTGATAATAAAAAAATATCAGATGTGTTGTATGCCATTTTATGGGTAATTGATTATTTTGATTTTATTTGATTTTGCGATGCTTTGTAGTTAAATTATTTGCTTATACGCCTGATTTGGCTGATAATAATTTATTTCTTACCCGAGACTCCAGCGAATTCATCCTGTTTTTATATGTCAAAACTTATTATCGGCGATATATAACATTGGTTCACTAATATATGACGAATTCATACGATCAAACCAATTAGCGAAGCAAGCACAAGGTGCTAATAAAAGCGCCTGTAGGCTCAAAGAGCCATTGCTCTGCAATAGATTTGCGGATCTTCATTTGTACTAGCGATCCGTGGTATTGGTTCTTTACATTTCGTACTAAATCGAAGTAATAAATTGCCAGGATCACAAAATATGACGACTTCGTACTATTTATGCGCATCGGATGATCGCTCACCTATAAAATCATCTGTGCGTATATCGCCGATAATTGACAATTTCCCATGTATCACTCGATAGTTTTGTTTGTTACTTAATTTAGATGTACTACGGCCCTATTTCGGAATAAATGGGTTTCGATTCTCACAGGCGGTATACGTGTAACCCAATATATAAAAAATCCTGATAATCATGATCGATTATTTTTTTACTTTGAATGTATATTATAAATATAGTTCACAAAAAATGCTATCCGAAATAAAAGAAAACGGAATCAATACTAGCAATGATGCGAGCCGGCTTTCAGCTGAAGTTACTCACCTCGAGTTTGTGGGAGATAGAACATCGGCATCCAGTAAGGATATGACTCTTTTGGAAGAATTTTTAGTGTCAGCATGTAAAAAACAGAAAACATCATATAGTTCAAGCCTAAGAAGTCTCAAAATTACTCATTATTCTAAGCTCTCGGATAAAAAAGTTCTAAGTATATTACACAAATACCCAAACATAACCAGTCTAAATTTTGAACAAAGTAGAAGTTTTACTGATGCATCACTTATAGAAATTGCCTGATCATACCCCAACTTAGAATCTCTCAATGTCTGCGGTAACCAAGATATAACTGGTCACTCCATATATAAAATTACACAATCATGACAAAAATTACGCTACCTTGATATTGGTTTTTGCGGAAGCATCACTGATGATTTCATATATAAAATAGTAAAAGCATGTTGTAAATTAGAACTTTTATGCATCGGTGGATTAAAACGTTATAAGCCAATCTCTGATCGAACGATAAATACGATAGCTTGCTCATGCCCTAATCTTCGCCACCTTTCTTTAACAGGTTGTCATAATATTACTAATAAGTCGGTTAACAAAATGTTACAACAAATTCATAATTTGGAATATCTTGAACTTGACCAATGTAGACTTATTACTGATTCATTTATTAGTGATATTGCTAACTTTTGCCCGAAGCTCGAACATCTCGATATTGGCGCCTGTGGTGTTTCTGATACAGCCATCTGTAATATTGTACGCTCGTGTAAAAAATTAAAGTATCTCAATATCAGGTGTTGCCGTCTCATTACTAATACATCTATTAATGAAATTGCTCAGCATTGTTTAAACTTGGAATTTTTTTCTATAGTGGGTACAAATGTTAGTAAAGATGCGTTGAGTAAACTTAATCCAAAGATCAAGATAAAGCAGAATTCAACACTTGAAATGGACCCAGAAAAAGAACTTAATGATCTCTGGATATCACTTGTTTATTTAGTACAGGATTTATGGTTAAGTTATGTGAATTTTGAAGATATTGCACAATACTGTGAAGACAAGATTGAAGATAAACATTATTAAAAGTCAATTGTGGAATTGGAGCGGGACATGAGAGATATGGCTGAGAGACTCAGTTTAATGGTAAGTATGTATGGCCTTAAAGAGAAAATTAATTATCAACCTATAAATCCAGAATTAGATACTAATTATGTTATCACTGAGTTTGTTCCTCGTGATATAAAATATAGAGGTAAAGAACCCCTATTCTCGTACATGAAATTTCAAACTACATGAAGTGAATTCCATCAAAGATTGCGCAAAAATGACTTCTCTCCTTAAGGAAAAATTATTTTAACGAAGCTACTATGTTGATGATTAATTTATCTCAAACATATGTCACGGGCAATGAGAACGATTCAAATTTGGGTCGTATCGTGGAGCACGCACATCATTTTTTCCAGATTACGGGTTACCCTTTTAATTTCTCTACTGAGGTCGTCATTTAGTCTTCTGGATGATGGATGTGCAGGAGGTATGTTGCGAAATATTCGTTGTTTATTATTGCAAAGCAATGACTCTTCGAGTCTATCTTCGA